CCAATTTGTTATGTGTGGATGATGAGATTCCATTGATATAGAGCCAATTCCAATAGACTTATTAGAGGGTCCCATTGGCATGCATCCAGTAGGAATTGAACCTACGAATTCGTCAATTATGAGTTGGGCGCTTTAACTAGTCTGCCATGGATGCTTAGCAGGGATCCACCAAGCTTCTTAATTATAATATTTTTTTTAGTCACATTCTCTTGCACGAGGTCAAGGACGTTACAAGACGCCATTTAGTGAAAAGGTTTCTCATCTACATTATTATTACAAATATATTAATTAATATACCAAAATATATACAAAAAAAAATCTGTAGAACTATTGCAAGATTCATAGTGCAAATCATTCATCATATAAAATAGATTTACACATAAGCCTTGTCCAGTAGCACCCTCCCATCCCACCGTTCACAAACGAAGCATTGTTACATTGGGTGCTCTATGGGTTCCAGCGGAGTTGATTTGGAGGTACCCCTACAAGTTTCATGTTTAAGGAAGCAAATCGAATTTTCTCCTTTTTGAAAGTTCTAGCTAATACTACCTCCGGTCCTTAATATAAGACCTTATTGGACTTTTATCTTGGTCCTAAATATAAGATCTTAATCCATTTTGTCTCTCATATTTATGTATCTTTTTCCAAGATGGTCCTCCTAACAATGATAGTTATAGCCAATACACTTAATTAGTAAGGATATTTTAGGAAAGATAACACATATTTATTATAAATAACTAACTTAACTTCTTTTCTTAATCTCCTCAAATTAGTCAACTAGCTCTTATAATTAAGACCGGAGGTAGTATCATTTAACAGTCTTCTCTTGAATCTTTTTCTTTTGCTATTTTGTTTTGCTATATATGTAGAATCAACTCTTTCTCTTTACATATGTAGGTAGCCATTTCAATTGCAAAATTGGTGGTGTTGGTTCCTGCAGAGTTGATTAGTAGGTACCCTGTACCACTACAGGTTTCACGTTGAAGGAAACAAATTGTGTTAGCCTTTTGAAAGCTCAGTATCAAATTTCATTTAAAACAGTCTTTTTTGAACTTGGACAATAAAATTTATGACAAATCATGTCTCAACTTTAGTTAAGACTTCTGCACAGTGAAAAAGTAGCAAAGCTCTGTGCTTGGTTAGGGAATCAAGCTGCGTATTACTCATCCATACTATATGCCAACGTGACTCTCCAGGAATGCATGGTTACTATCATTTCAAAAGAACGTTTTTAATTGCAATAATCATAGGGATACTGACCTACTAAAATTTATACTGTGTTTTGTTTATTTTATTATTTTATATCTTCATTTTGCTTTATAGCCTAGAGATGTTTCTCAATCTTCCATCTAGAGAAAGGAGAAACTGCTCTACATTGCTGCAAGTGGAAGATCAGAATTTTACCAGAAATATGTAACATCTAATTTCAGTTAGGGTTGAGTAATCAGTTAATCGGTTCAATTAGTGTCAATAACTGAACTAACCGAAACGATCACAATGAAAAAACCGAACCGAAACTGAACAGAGTAAACTAACCGAATTGAAATAGCCAAAATATATTCGGTTCGGTTAGTGGGCTTATTCGGTTATTGCGCCTTTTATTGGGTCTTTTTTTTTTCAAGTACTATTCTAGCCCAGTAAGCACAAAAAGTCGAAATAGTGAGAAATAATGATTTTTTGGGCTCTTTTTGTACAAAGAATTTGGATATTTGAAAGGTGCAATAAAAGTTTTAAATTCCAAAATCAAATATATCTGATTACACACTACATATATTGTGAGACAGAATAATTATTAAAAAGTTAATGACAAGTTGTAAATATGCAGTTGCAATTCTTCCAAAATTTAATATCCTTGAAAACACCAGAACATCCACAAAATTGTAAATATGCTAGAAGAAAAATGAACCCAAGTTTGAGAAGGATTGTCAAGGTAAGCTCATAAAAATGACCCAACATCATAATCATCCTACTAACATTCTTCCAATCTTCAGACTCAGGCACCCTCTCTTCATCTTGAAGATCAAATAAAAAATAAGGATCTTTATCCTCAAACCTTTTAAAGGCTGCCTCAAATTTTTGAGCAGTCTCTAACATCAAATAGGTAGAGTTCCACCGAGTAGGGACATCTAAGCATAAGATTTGCTTACTTTGAATCTTTTCATCCATGCCAACTCTCTTTAAACTTTCTCATCCTAAGGGGTGATTGTCTAATAAAGTGAACAGCTTCTCTAACTTTTTTCACATAACTCCCTATTTCTTTCAACCCATCAGTAACAATCAAGTTGATTATGTGTGCAACACATCTCATATGTAAGAATTGACATTTCATAATTGAGAGACCCTAATTCATAATTTTTTGTTCTAAATATTGAACCATGACATCATTAGAACTAGCATTATCCACGGTAATTATGAGCACCCTTTCAATTCCCCATTCAAGTAGACATTTTTCTATTTCCATTCCAATATCCTTCCCCTTATGGCTAGAAATAGGAATGAAATTTAAAATCCTCCTTCTCAATATCCATGCATCATTAAAATGAACAGTAACGCACATATAATTGATTCTTTGAATGGAAGTCCAAGTGTCAGTGGTGAGGCAAACCCTTTGCCTCTTATGCAGTAAATAGTCTTTAAATTTAACTTTTTCATCAATGTAAATCCCAAAACAGTCATGAGCAACAGTTCATCTTGATGGAATTTTAAACCTAAGTTGAGCAATTGACATAAATTGCCTAAACCCATCCCCCTCAACAAACTTGAAATGTAATTCATCAGTAATTATCATGCATGATAAGGCTTTCCTAATAGCATCTTGATCAAATTTCCAATTAGGAAGACCCATTTTGTCATCTACATGAAAGTTCAAGTGAGATTGCACAAGTTCTTCAGGAGGGAGCTTCAATTTATAAGTAATCAAATGGTTGTTAAGTGTAGTGGTTCCATTAGCTTTTGAATCACATGCAAGATTTTTTTCACAATAGTTGCACTTACCTCTAGTTTTACCTCTCTCATTCACAAATTTGTGAAATGTTCCCAAGCCTTTGATTTTGGTTTCATGCTTTTTCTTTTTGTAGTCCCACTTGCTCCTAGCATTGAAGGCTTTGTTGTTTGAGTAGCATCATCATCCCTAACTTGAGCATCACCCGTAGTTTCACCACGAGAAGACATCTAATTGGTTTTTAAAAAAATATTAGTTACACCATCATCAAAGTGGAACAAGTTACAAAATTTTCTCCACTGCATCATCAAACCATTATGAAATAATAAATTAAAGGCTTGAAGAAGGCGTGCTTAATTTTCTCCACTGCATGGGGTTCTATCAAATTGTTGACTGAAGGAATGACACCCCTACCCTTTGTAGTTGTATATAAGAAACAAATGAGGACAATTTATAATGAATAGATAACTCCTATCTATAATCAATCTCTCTTCTTTTTAATTTACAATAGATTATATAATCAAGCATCACCCATGGTTTTGACTTTCAATCAATATATATGCTGCAGAAGAATAGAAAGGGACAAGGGATCATGATATCGAAAAACATAAGTAAACCACCCGAATACAAAGGGATGTCAGATATAATCAAGCATCACCCATGGTTTAATCAATATATAATTGATGTCAGATGCAGAGTATTAATTTCAAATACAAACAAACCACCCAAATTAAGTAAAATTGTTTTACAATCATATTATGTTCTGTTTATCCAATATACCCATATCAATTATCAAAGAAAAACATAAATCACTCAAATGAAGAGGGAGCAATGAAAGGCACATGTGGATTATATAAAAAAATATCACAGAAAGATCATAGAACACTAGAACAGTAGCTGAAAAAATTTCTACAACTTGAATACCACATTTTACTTGGCTGCACATGGAGAAGGCTGAAGGGAGAGGGATCCAAGGTCGCGATTATAATGCTCCTACTATATGAAGACTAGTGGCGAGTGGTGAGTTGAGTGGCGATTGGCTGACTGCGATGTGAGGCTCCTATATGGAGATTGTGGCGATCTGTGATGACCGATCGATGGAGGGAGTTTGAAGTTTGAAGTTTAGACTTTGCTCCTTACGACGACGACGGTAACGACTAAGCTAAGGAGTGTAGATCAGAACTTCTGAGAATGAAGGGAGTCATTGAGAACTTCAGATTTAAGCTGCGCAATCTGCCTGCACCGACCTGTGACTGTGAGACTTAGGGCTTGAGAGGAGATGGGAGTCTTTGAGAGTCTGGGAGAGAGGGAAACGAGTGAGTAGTGACTGAGTGTGACTGTGAGTACGAGGCCGTGAAGGTGTGAACTGAGGTGGAATCGAACTCTGGGCCAGTGTGGGCCACGTGACTAGTGGACTACTAGACTGGATCACTGGACAGATGGAGTCAAAAGAAAATACTAAGAATAGGTGGGCCGTGGGGACTGGGGAGTGGGGACCAGGAGAGAAATATTTAAAAAAAATTTCATTCAAATTCAGTTATTTCAATACTAACCAGATTATTTTTCAGGACACCGAATCGAATACTGATAACCGAAATACTCGAATAAACTAACTGAAAAAAAAGAACCAAAATAACCGAACCGAAATAACTGAATTGAGTTCGGTTTGGTTCAGTTTTCAGTTCCAGTTCGGTTTTGCTCACCCCTAATTTTAGTAGGCACTACTGGAATTATAATGCCTTTTCGTTTATCATCACATTATTTGACACATCAATCATCAATCAATATATCAATATATCAATGTAGATACTCTTCCACCAAATCATGCCCTTAAACGGTACTAGGGAAGATTCTCAAGATGAGCCGTCAGCCAGGTATAGTAACTTTAAGTACTCTGTTGAAAGGTCTCTGCATTAATAATAACGTTAGAGAAGCCCTTGTCTTTCATACTGACTTGTTGACAAAAGGATTTCTGTTAAATGAAGTAAGCTATGGTATCCTGATTAATGGCTTCTATAAAATTGGAAAAACGTCCGCTGCTCTTAAATTGCTTCTAAAGATGGAGACAGGGTTAGTTAAGCCTGATTTACTTATGTACAACACAGTCATAGATGGTCTTTGTAAAGAAGGGCTTGCAATTGAGGCAAAAAAATTATATCATGAAATGACTGATAGGGGAATATCTCCGGATATTGTTACCTACAACTCTCTAATATATGGTTTCTGTTGCATGGATCAATGGTACGAAGCCACGTGGTTGCTAAATGAAATGGTGGTAGAAGGCATCAGACCTTGTATTTATACCTTCAATATATTGATAGGTGCATTTTGTAAAAAGGGGAGGATAACCAAAGCTGAGGCAATAGCTGGTAGGATGATCAAATGTGGTACAAAGGCTGATGTTATTACTTACAATTCTTTAATGGATGGGTACTATATGATGAATAATGTTGATGAGTCGAAGAAGGTTCTTAATAGAATGATCAAAAGTGATGTGTTGCCTGATGTTTTCAGTTACAGTATCTTGATTAATGGGTTATGTAAAATGAAAAGGATTGGTGAAGCCATGGATCTCTTTCAGGAAATGCAATGCAAAAGTTTGTTTCCTGATAGTGACATATAGTGCTCTTATTGATGGCCTGTTCAAATCAGGAAAGATCTCAAACGTGCATGAACTTATTTACGATATGCATGATAGTGGTCATCTACCAAATATAGTAACCTACAATGCCTTGTTGGATGGATTGTGCAAGAGCCAGCGTCTTGATGAAGCAATTATGCTATTTAAAAAAATGGGCGTCCTAGGAATACAACCTGATATTTACACATATACCATTCTTATTGATGGCTTGTGCAAAGGGGGCAGGTTACATACTTCACGACAGATTTTTCAGTATCTTTTAGTCAAAGGCTATCGTTTGGATGTCCAAGCATATACTACTATGATCAATGGACTTTGTAAGGAGGGCTTGTTTGATGAGGCAAAGGCATTACTTTTTCAAATGGGAGAGAATGGATGCCTCCCAAATTTTGTAACTTTTGAAACAATCATTGGAACTCTTCTGGAAAAAGGAGACAATGATAAGGCGGAGAATCTTCTTGATGAAATGATTGTTAGGGGTCTCCTAAAACGATAAAAGAAGGTTAGATACTTGTGTTCATGTTGACATTTGTTGTAATAATTGACTAATGTTTTTGTTACTCTGGTGAAAATTGTTGACCATATAATCTTTTACAACCATTGACATTTAAAGGCAATTGCATTGGTCTCCCTCTGCTTTTGTAGTTCGAAGTTAAAGTTCTTTTCTCTCTGAGCTCCGTGTGTGTGTTTGGTATTAACCTTAGCTGTTTTATCGTTGGTGTGCGTTGGGTCCATGTCAATTGGATTGTTTAATTGCGTCTACTGTAATTGAACTTTCTATTCTACCCTTGTGATACGTACCAATCTATCCTTGTGAAGCAATGGAAACAATTTTATGATCCGACAGTGGTAAGTTCTTCATTCATATGCAAATAAATTGGAAGTGGGCCTAATTCTTTTTGTTTTCCACCGACAGTTGCCATCTTTTCCTTTTTTGAAGCTGAGTGCATATGCATATACCTGTTTAATTGGGAAAAAAAAAAGAAGAAAGAAAACACTCAGCAAATTTCTGTGACATAACACGTGTGAAACTGCAACACAGGTCAGTGCTTTATCCTCATGACATTTTTAATTTATCTCGTCTCCAAAATACAACCTCGTTTCTGTTTGCAGGTTTGGTGATGAATACCATTTGGAGAGTGATTAAATGTCCTTTCTAATTCGATGGCTTTCACATCTTCACCTCGTAGAGATTGTGCTTTTAGAAAATCAGAGCTTTCCTGGTTTTGCTGTGAAGTCGGGTGCTTGTGGTTATAATGTACTATCCCCAATCCTTAATATAAGAGTTAGATGACTAATTTGGAGAGATTGAGAAAATCAGTTAAGTTGATTAATTACTTCTCTAAACTACCTATTTTAATAATGTGCATCACCCCTTAATGGAAAACCCTAACAATCAATGAGAATATTTTAGAGAAAACTTATAAATTTGAGAAATAAAGTGAATTGATGTATTATATTTAAAATCAAACGTAACCCTCCAACTAACTCTTATATTAAAGATCGGAGATAGTGTTTGATTGTTAATATGATGAACAGAGGGATGTTGCATTATTTCATAGCTCATTGTAATGCTTGTATTTAAGAGTAGGTTCAAACTCTGAAACGGTTGAAAAAAGCACCCTTTGTGACAGGACTGTTTTGGAGACTAGAGGCATCATATGGTTGTGAGAATGCTAAGTCTGTCTTGGAAACTTTCTCATAAATTCCCTCTTCTTCTGCGTTAACCAAACATAGGACTGTTGTTTCTCTTTCTCATGGTATTTCCTGATGAGGTGTTTAATGGCGACCTTAGGTTTTCTCAATTCAGTATGCATAATTTGCCATGATTGCGGATGACCCTGACTGGTTGGGTGGATTACCAGCAAGTGTCTCGGCCAGTGATTGCTGCAATGCATCCATTCCATCTCCCATCCCATCATTTGTTTGCTCAGGTAAGGACTCCAATTGACTGAAGAGAAGCTGCATCAGACTCAATTCAGTTTGAAGTTAGACAGCATATTATGGAAGGATACGTACTTCGGTACAATAAAGATAAACTACTGAAATATGTATTGAATCCCTCTTTGCTTTCTTTCAAATGTTGACGAAGAATAGTCGAATTAAAGTAGATTCTGCATTCTGTTTTGATATTACAAGTTAGAAGGATTAAGGAAACATCCAAAAGAAACTCCCTAACATGTCTAATCTGATCTTCAAAAGCATAGCAAATCACATAGAGATACATTGCTAATGCTGATTAATGAGGCATTTTGTGTAGGCCTCTGTTGGGGATCTCTCAGTAGGTTTATATGCTTGGTCTCGCAATCTCCTACCCATAGTGCCAAGCAGAAGAGGTAGCCCACGATCTTGAGATTAGATTTTGCAGCTATTTGAAAAGTATGCAAGCATAAATTTTCCCCAGCATGAATGTTTCCCTTTCAGTCCTTTTTACAGTAGTTTTTATCATCACCCCTGTAATTTTCCTTTAATTTGATTTGATGGCAGGTTTTTGTCTGCCCCAGAAGCTCGGTCTATTAGTAAATGGTGCTGTAAAGAAAGCGAAACGATTAATTCCACTTTGTTCGTTTGAAATATTGGTGCGAGTTACTTTTCCTAAATCCTCAGCTAGAGTAAAAGAACCTTCATCTCTCTCATTTTGAGAAAAAGGACGATCAGAGCTTTATTCTACAGGATGGGCCTTGGGTGTTTGAAAATTTATTGTTTCACACAATTCAAACCCATGTTGAATTTGGATGTAAACATGTGATGCTTAATTTCTGGTGCCTGTAGATTTAGTCTGAACCATTCACAATCCAAACCCATGTTTAAGTGCAATTACGGGTTCATACGTTATTTTTCCAGTGTGTAATGTATAAGAACGAGTTGTAAATTGCTATTCCTAAATGCGATTGCAAAGTTTTTAATAGCTTGTCAAGGTTGAGAACTTTGCAATCGCAATTTGTTAACTATGAGATGTATCATCGTTTGTTGTAAATTACTAATTCGAAATTGGTCAAATCGATTGAAAGTTGTTAATAACTTATCAAGTTTAAGAATTTTATTATTGCAATGGCAGTGCCAAGTCTTATTTTGCCAAGCATGTTGTAAATTACTCTCTTAAATAAATAAAATTGATTGAAAAGTTGAGTTTTGTAATTGCAATAAGAGGCCTAATTCTTATTTTTCCAAATATGTGAGGTACGATATCTTATTGTAAACTGGTAATACAAAATGGGTAAAATTGACTCAAAAAATGCTAATAACTTCCCAAGATTAGGAACCCTGCAATTGCAATGACAAGCCTAATTTTTATTTTCCAAATATGTATGGTAAAGTAGTATCGTGTTGTAAATTGATAATATGAAATGAGTAAAATTGATTGAAAAGTTGTTAATAGCTTCTCAAATTTAGGAACTTTGCAATTGCAATAACAAGTATAATTTTTATTCTTCCAAGTATATAAGGTATAGTCTTGTGTTCCAAATTGATAATCCGAAATGAGTAAAATTGATTGAAAAATTTTTAATGGCTTCTCAAATTTAGGAACTTTGCAATTGCAATAACAAGTTTGATTCTTATTTTGTAATGTACAATCGTATGGTACAAATGGCTAATTCAAAATGATTAAAGACCTATTCGAGAATTGTTAATAGCTGAAGAAGTTTAGGAAATGGATAAAATCCAAACAAATTTAATAAATTTTCACTTAGGTGTAAATGACTAATCTGAAATGGTTAAAACAAATTCAAGAATTGTTAATACCTACTGAACTTAGGTAGTGGGTAAAATCCAAATAATATTAGTGAACTTTATTCAAACAACATTAGTGAATTTTCACTTCAATATAAATGATTAATCTGAAATGGTTAAAATAGAGCATCTTGCAATCATTTAATATCTTCTAGGCTTTTTTTGTGTGGTCATTTTACTAATATATTATCACTAAAGATTTGAAGTCTGTAAATTCATAAAGTCAACTCTGCGTATTTAGGGAGACTTGATTCAATAAGTTTGAGTTTAACATTTTAATAAAACTTATAAATTTAAAATAATAAATAAATGGAAATTATTGAAATTTGATTTGATTTGAATAATTTAAATTCGCAATAAATAGCGAGAGTGATATCAAAACTGACATAAAAAAAACAATCTTCATTGAGATATTATGCGTGATTTATCTCAATTCATTTTCCTATTTTATGATTTGTCAATAATATAATTTGTAAAATATTTTGCATTCAATACGATTTCTAGTTTCTAAAATCAAAATTTTCTTTTAATCTGTTTAAAATTTTTTTGTTTCTAATATAAAATTTTGTGGACCAAAAGCATTGGTTTTAAATTTTTGAAAGCAAAATCAATCAAAATGAAGACAAATTACATTAAGGGAGTGTTTATGTGAAAACGAAATCATGATTTTAAAAGTGATTTTATTTTATAGAAAATAAGGTGGTATTTGAATAGAAACCAAACTATGGTTTTAAAAATACTTTTACAGTATGCGAAATAAATATAAAAAAGAGTTTGTCTCATTTTAAAGAAAAGTGTTTTTTACATGTCACCAAACACCCCCTAAATATGTGGAGGAGTTTGACTTGATTTATGAAAAAGTGCTTTTGTATAGTACTTTTATAGCTTCCCAAATACCCTCTTAAAAAACTGTAAAAAGAGTTTTTCTTCATTTGTGTAAAAATACTTTTTAAAATGGTTTTTGGGATTACCAGACTCTCCTCAGTAAAAATGATTTTAATCCCAAGTAAGATGTTATATTCCCACATCTCAAACTTGATACACATGATTGAGTTAGAACAGTCCTTGTCAGCTTATTTAATCTTCGGGTTTCCTATATTTTATACTTAAATATAAACATAAAATAAGCTTTATATTTAGTACTGAATGAACTGGTATTAAAAATATCTATTCTGAAAAACAAAGGTGACCCTCCATTCTTAGGCTCGCCGTCGCAGCCGAAGATAGCGGAAGACTTTTTGTGGCGAGCGCTTGTGATCTTCAGGCGTCTGGTTCTTCACAGTCCCATTGTCCCCTTCCTCCTCAGCAGATCTCAATTTTTGATAATGAACATGCTTTTCTGTAAAACTACAAGGTACGCCTTCCCCAGATATTTTTCCCATTCGCCAAAGCCTAAGAGCATTGAAGAGGCTATCTCTTCATTTCATAGCTTGCTTCATATGAATCCCCAACCCTCTATAGCTCGTATTAATAAGATTCTAGGATCTGTCGCGAAGATGAAGCATCACCGAGCTGCTATTTCCCTTTTCGCAAAAGCAGAATGCAAGGGATTCACGCCTTCTTTAGTTACTCTGAACACCTTGATGAATTGTTACTGCCATTTGGGTAACATGCCTTCTGCTTTCTCTATTATAGGGAGGATTCTCAAGTTGGGCTGTCAGCCAGATATAATAACTTTAAATACTCTGTTGAAAGGTCTCTGCATTAATGATAACGTTAGAGAAGCCCTTGTCTTTCACAATGACATCTTGACAAAAGGATTTCAGCTAGATGAGGTAAGCTATGGCATCCTGATTAATGGCTTTTGTAAAATTGGAAAAACGTCTGCTGCTCTTGAATTGCTTCGAAAGATGGAGACGGGATTAGTTAAGCCTGATTTAGTTGTGTACAACACAGTAATCGATGGTCTTTGTAAAGAAGGGCTTGCAATTGAGGCAAAAAAATTATATCATGAAGTGACTGATAGGGGAATATCTCCGGATATTATTACCTACGACTCTCTAATACATGGTTTCTGTTGCATGGATCAATGGCACGAAGCCACGTGGTTTCTAAATAAAATGGTGGTAGAAGGCATCAGACCTAGTATTTATACCTTCAATATATTGATAGGTGCATTTTGTAAAAAGGGGAGGATAACCAAAGCTGAGGCAATAGTTGGTAGGATGATGAAATGTGGTACAAAGGGCGATGTTATTACTTACAATGCTTTAATGGATGGGTACAATGAGATGAATAATGTTGATGAGTCGAAGAAGGTTCTTAATAGAATGATCAAAAGTGATGTGTTGCCTGATGTTTTCAGTTACAATATCTTGATTAATGGGTTATGTAAAATGAAAAGGATTGGTGAAGCCATGGATCTCTTTCAAGAAATGCAATGCAAAGGTTTGTTTCCTGATATTGTGACATATAGTACTCTTATTGATGGCCTGTTCAAATCAGGAAAGATCTCAAACGTGCAGGAACTTATTTATGATATGCATGATAGTGGTCATCCACCAGATATAGTAAGCTACAATGTTTTGTTGGATGGATTGTGCAAGAGCCAGCGTCTTGATGAAGCAATTATGCTATTTGAAGAAATGGGTGTCCTAGGAAAACAACCTGATATTTACACACATACCATTCTTATTGGTGGTTTGTGCAAGGATGGTAAATTAAATACTGCTCAACAAGTTTTTCAGTATCTTTTGGCTAATGGTCATCCTCTAAATGTCCAAGCATATACTGCTATGATTAATGGACTCTGTAAAGAGGGCTTGTTTGATGACGGACGGGCATTACTTTTTCAAATGATTGACAATGGGTGCCTCCCAAATTTTGTAACTTTTAAAACAATGATTGGAACTCTTTTGGAGAAAGGTGAGAATGATAAGGCGGAGAATATTCTTCATGAAATAGTTGCTAGAGGTCTTCAACGACGATAAAAGAAAGCTAGATACTTTTTTTCATGTTGGAATTTGTTGAAATATTTAACCAATGCAATGTCTGATGGCAGCTGAAATTTAAAGGCAATTAAAGTTGTTTTCACTTTTTATTTCAGTATCAGCCATGGTTGTCGTTGAATCCCCTAAGTTCATTTGATTGTCATTGCTTTGCTGATACAGATAGGCAGCATATGTCGCTGATGATTATTTATAGGGTTCATTCTCCCATCCCATCTTTTTGTTATATTTAGAAGCAAAACTACTTGAAACGTTGGGTAAATCTATCTCTCCTCTTTCGATTTAAGGCTGTCTTCCTGTTATTTTGTTTCTGTTCCTAACATCTGTATCTAGTAAGTTACGGCATACAAATATTTTATTGCACATACTATATATGAACTGTGTTTTCGATTCTTGTGATATGGACCAATCTGTTCTTGTGAAATCATAATAATGATTCCTTTTTTTTTTTTTGTGAAAAATGATTCTTTTGATCGATCCATGACCCATTTGGTCTTTGTTTAAAAAGAAATTTAATTAGAGACAACTTATGTGATTTTGTTTTCCCATGATAATTTCATTTCTTATAGTCTAACGGCTGATCTGTATTCGTTGTAGTTTATGGTGGGGAAATAAAACACTGCAAATTTCTTTGTTAATCTTGGTCCATAATATGCTATATTTGTCGTTTTTTCAATTCTTTTGTAGTTTGGATAAGTTCATGTGTAAAATTGAGATTTAGGTTAGACACTTTTTCCTTGAAATGTTGTATTTATAACAATGTTCACACTCTAGAAAAGATGAAAACAAAAAGGTTGCCATTTTATCCTGTGATAGGCTAATATAAGTTTATGGGAGGTGAATGAACTTTGATCCCCTCACTTGAAAGGTTTCTATACCCTATTTTAACTTCATATCCAGTTACCCACTTTATTTGATGGTCTTTGTAGAGAAGGGGTTGTTATTGAAGCAAAAACTTTACATCATGAAATGACTAATGGAGGAATAACTTCAAATATCGTTACATATACCTCTTTGATGCTTAAATAAAATGGTGCTAGAAAGCATCAATCCTTCTGTTTATGCCTTTATTATTGGATGCTTTTTTTTTTTTTGGTAAACAAATTTTTAGGTGGGTTCGGCACCGGTCATCTCACCAAGGCTAGGGCACGGCCCCAAGGCTCAGAGAGCACTTACAAGGAACTTGTGAGATCACCTACCAACAGAACCTTCACAACAACACGGGAAGTCGAACTTGCGTCCTTGTGGGATACAAGTCCGCTCCACTGACCATCTATGCCAACATCTATTGGCGGATGCATTTTTTATAAAAGGAAAGATAACCAAAGCTATAGCTGTAGTTTCTATGATGATGAAATGTGGTCAAAAGGGTGCTGTAATTACTTTCAATGCCTTAAATGGGTGGGAGCACTTTGATCAATAATGTTTGGTGAGTTGTGTTGCATAGAATGATCAAAAAGTGATGTGGCTCCTAATATTTTTAATCACAATATCTTGATTCAGTGGGCTATGTAAATTAAAAAGATTGGTGAAATCATATATCTCTTTAAAAAAATACAATGTAAATGATTGGTCATGATACCGTCACATGTTTTCTTTATTGATATAGCTTGTATAAATACCCATATGCTAGATTTCACTATTAAAAAACATGCTTTTAGCGATGGAATTTAAAGTTATTTTTTAATTACCATTGATAAGATATGCAATTTAATTATACATGTATTATATTACATTATATTATATTATCTATATGTGTTTTATATATAATAACTTGTGGTATCTTGTTGGATGATGGATTTAATATTTGTATTACAATGAAAAAATTCAAAATAATAAATACATGAAAATTATTGGAATTTGATTTGGTTTAAGTAATTTAAATTGGAAAAAAGAGAGAGCGAGAGCGAGATAAATGAAATAAAAAATAATCTTTATTGAGAGACAATATTAATGTGTAATTTACATCGGCTCATTTTGCTCTTTCTACGTGTTGCTTATAATTTATAATAAAAGTTGAAAAGAATCAAATCAATAATTTTTATTTCCGTTAATAAAATTCAATGGTACTGATAAACCTGAACATATTAAATAAGTGTTAAGTTGTATTTATTTGTCTCATATATTTTTTTAAGAGCACCCAATACTTTAAACTAATTTTTGATACATTCAACATCTTAAAATATCTTTCTAGTAATACCTATTTTTCTAAAATAATTTTTTTAATATAATTTTAGTCTGGAAATATTTTTCTCGAAAGCCACAAACATTCAAAACTTAAGATGCATAATGTAGCTCAAAATTACTGATGGTGAACATGCTTTTCGGCAGAGCTGCATGGTATATATGCATCTCCAAATTTCTTGAATAATATAGTTGATTTAATATGAAAACAAATTTAAGAGTTGTTAATACCTAATGAAGCTTAGGTGAACTTTATCCAAACAACATTAGTAAATTTTCACTCTAATATAAATGATTAATCTGAAACGGCTAAAATAGAGCATCTTTCAATCTTTCAATCATTTAATATCTTCTAGGTCTTTTGTTGTCATTTTACTAATAAATTATTATTAACGAGTTTTTTTTTGGACAGAAGTATTTATTTTTATTAAAAAAAGAGGAAATTCTAACAAAAAGTTTGAAACAAAAACCAAAACATCAAAAGAGGTAGAAAGATGCCTTCGCTGCCAGAAAACACAACCACCAAAAACCAAGTCCGAAACAAAGGATGGGGTTTTAAAAAACTATCCTAATAGTCCCATTCCTTTTGACAAACCATATGCTACCATGAAAACAAGCTTATCACCATCACAGAGGAAGAAACACGACTACCAACAATGACAATGCATTCACGACTACCAACAAATGACAATGCATTAATCCAGTGAAACTCCAACCAGTGCCACAAAACTTCCACCAACCCTACGCGACTAAAAGAGTGTTTAGATAAGATCAAAACCATGGTTTCAGAAGTGCTTTTACAGTATACGAAGCAAATATGTAGAGAAGATTGTCTCGATTTGTAGAAAAGTGTTTCTGAAAAGTGATTTTAAGGGCATCTAAATACCCCTTAAATCTCATCAAAGAAACTATATTTCATCGCTAGCCAGACCAGCTCGGAGTGGATGGAACTAGAAAACATACCGACCTGCGTGTTTCTCTGTATCCATCACAGTATTGCTGTTAATTTGAGCGGTCCTGTTTGATTCTCGCTGATACAAATAGGTAGCTTCTTTCTTTTCTTTTTTTATTTTTATTGGATGAACATATAGGCATCTTTTGTGGCTGATAATTATCCAAAGGGTTCATTCTCTCATTCCATTCTTTCTTTTATATATAGAAACAAAACTATTTCTTAAAAAAAAAGAAAGAAAGAAATATCTGTTTCAAATGTTGTGAAAATCAATCATTTTATTATACTCCTCCAATCTTAAAAGGTCTTATATTTAGAATCGGAGGAGTATATCTGGGGATGAAAACCTTTTGGAGAGTGATTAAATGTCCTTTTTAAATTTCATGGCTTTCACATCTTGGCCTTGTATAAAAGGTGTTTACCGTTTTCAGAAAATCAGAGCTTTCTTGATTTTGTTGTGAAGTTATTTGTTTGTGGTCTATAGTGTATTTGTCATTTGATCGTTAACATAACGAGCATAATGATGTTGCATTATTTAATAGTTTATTGAAATGTTTGCATTTATGAGCAGCTTCAAACTCTGAAAAAGTTTTTTAAAAAGGAAAAAGCACCTTTTGTCTGTTTTATAACATATTGATAAGTTTGAAAATATATGTATTAGAATTACTTTTTTGTTGCTGACAAATTATATTTAGGAAATGATAAAATTAAAATTATAAAATTTCACTATATAAGAAAAATTAATAAATTTTATAACATGTTAGAAAGTTTTGAAAATATATGTGTTAGAAGTATGTTTATGATGTATAAAAATTATATTTTGGGAATGATTAAAATAATTCTTATGTTAAAAAAGAGTATTTTGAGGAAAATAGATTCTTAATTATATCAGAGAGGTTTTTATATGATACAATTTAATTTTAAAGGAGGTTCATATATGATTTTAAAATAAAAGCGGAGATTTTTATAATTTAGATAAAACTGAAGGGTGATTAATGATTTTACCCATATTTTAATGTAAAACTTTTGTTAATATCCCATATTAGACTAAAAGTTATTTCTTTGCCAGGGTGACTTACATTAAAAGTTAACTTAACATTAATTATTTAAAAAGATAATATTGTATCGATTTTAACATAGTAGGCTTCACGTTGCTAAGCTTCACAATTTTTATTTAAGTGAATTCGGGTCATGAACCATTTGTTATAAAGTTTCAATTAACAGCATTATGCAAGGTCAACAAAAAAAATTAACAACATTATAAGCTTCGAAGTACTCTTATAACATTAAAACTGAACAGAAATAGTTCCCATTGCAATTTTTTTCTTTGATCTGAGGTCAATAACTTTCTTCTCATAGTTTAGTTAAATTTTGAGTTTGATCCCTATAGTTTTAAATTATAATTTTTCATTTATCTCTTTTTTTATTCAAAACATTAGTCCTTATCATTTCATAATAACTTGGATATAAGTTTAGCCATGTTGACGAAGTTAATATCATTAAGTAAAGGGATCAAAATCAAACCACGTGAACAATATAAGAATTAAAATAAAAACTCGTAAAAAGTACATAAATTGAAATCAAAACCTATAATAAATAATAAATAATAAATAAAGGCTTAAGTGTGTAATGAATGACAAAAAAAAAAAAAGGTATTGACAAGCAAAATCGATTTTGAGTGGAGAAAATAATTTTCTTCAGGAAAATTTAATATTCAGCTTTGAATGCATGCTCTATTTTCTTACTTCCAGATTTGATCTCATCTGATTCTAGGGATGCAATTATTTTGAGCGAGTGCAAATTTTTTCAGAAATATGCAGCATATTTTTAACTGTGCAAATAACTT